GGGGTTAGGTTTAGGGTTAGGATTAGGTTTAGGGGGTTAGGTTTAGGGGTTAATTTTAGGTTTAGGGTTTACAGCGTGTTTCTGTCTCCGTGCTGTTGTCGCCCTGTTGATGACGTCAGCGACGCGGTTTAATCAGGCGCGGCTTAGTCGAGCGCGGTTTTGACGGGTCACGAAATCTGATGTGTTTGAAATTATAGGAAATTTCAGTTGCATATTTATTAGCTTTCAGCATTGTAAAAGGTATATTCTATTTTATGCATTCTTTTTTACAGTTCAGTAATAGACCTGCAGTTGTTTAAAAAAATAAAGCAGCTGCCAAAGTGCTACCAAATTTATTCTGAAGTGGTTCTAACCAGTGCCATATATAATGGCATTGGCAAAATTATAGAATGATATTTTTAGGATTTTGGATAGCCAAAGCATACTTTTTTTTCCACTTGAATACGTTTTCTGGGTTTGAATTTGAAGAAAGGTCATTTCTGGAGACCCAGGTGCTCTCCATCCATTTTCTTTCTTTGTTCCCAAGTCAGTGGAATGGACCTGTGTCCTTGGATGGTAAAATCTATACCTATACAGGAATGATTAGTCCAAATATTATCAGCTATAGAGCTAACAGGTTGTAAGGAAGCATGGTTATAACTGAGCTTCACCATACAACTTTCTCTACAGGTGATACTTGGCTCTTTTTAATGATGTTTTTACAGTTAATCCCTTGCAGCATAAATTTTGCAGATTCATATATTTATAAGGGCCATACTTGCCTTTCTGAATATAAATCCTTTTGCCATATTTCAAGTATTGAGATTGTAGAGTTCTGATGCTACTCTTTATATGAGTACAGATTCAAAAACATGGTTCTGATATGCCATAACCCACCTTTAAGATTGAAGGAGGAAGAGAGGTGTTCTGTCTTCCTTTGAAGATGCTGCATTTGCATTATCTTCTTACAACTATAACTTTGTTGCTTGTATCATACGATTTATATTAATTGTTTTATTGTAATATCTTAGTATGATTTATATTGATTGCTTATTTAGTATCCTATGATTATTACTGAGTGTTGTATCTTATGAATTATGATGAATGTATTTTATGATTATCATCGTGATTTCTCACTTGTTGCTTCTATGTACAGTGAGAGCTCATGCACCGGACAAATTCCTTGTGTGTCCAATCACACTTGGTCAATAAAGAATTCTATTCCTATTCCCATTCCATTCTATTCTATGCAAATTCTAGGGCTGCAAAAGCTCTATTTAGCTCTTTAACCTGCTATGCACCATCTCTAACTTTCATTCTGTCACAGATCTCATGGGCATGTTTGAGAAACGGCGCTTTCGCAAGTTCTTGGTGTTTGTGGCAAACTTCGATGAGAATGATTCAAAGACCTTGGAGGGAGTGGATCCTCATGTCACTACCATGCGCGAAGTCTACCGACGCTTTGACCTTGGCCAGGATGTCATTGATTTCACAGGCCATGCGCTGGCTCTCTACCGCACCGATGAGTGAGTGATGGATCATAGCTTGCCTTCTTGCAGTCAGCTGACTTATCTTCATGCCTCTTTATCTTGATCATGCACCACACTGATTATGGTCCCACACTTCTAATATACATTTCTACTGCAATGCGCTCTACATGGGGCAGGCCTTGAAGAGTATTCGGAGACTTCAACTCGTCCAGAATGCAGCCGCGCGAGCGATTGTGGGTGCACCTCGGTACACCCACGTTACACCTATCC